CTTAAGAGGGAGATTAGCGCCAAGCAATATGTAGAGTGCAGATTGGGTCATGCCTTAGGTAACAATTCCCAATACAACATGCAATGTCGCGGCAGATGACTCGCGACCCCAAAGTAGCGATAACTGTATCTTCTGCCGTAGAAGTAACCACTCATCGGTGGCGTGTAGAACGGTTACGGATCAAAGCCGTCGCCGAAAAATCCTCATGGATGAAAATAGATGCTGGAAGTGTTTCTCATTTGACCACAATAGTTTTGAGTGCCAAAAGGCAGATTGTACGCGATGCGGTCAACAGCACCACATATCGTTATGTGTCAAGAAGGAAGTAACAATGGGGCAAACTAACTCCTGGAACCCGAATCGAGGACATGCTCGAGAAGGGACTAACCATCACAACTTCCGCGAGAGGAATGTTCGAGCACATCAGCCCTATGAATCACATCATAACAGCAGTGGAAATCCTAATACTGACCGGGGGACCAACAATGACCACAATAACCAGGGAAATTTTTCGAATCTCACCCATATGAGGGCAGAATCTGATCTTCCCTCAAACTCAGATCAAGGCCAAACATGCCATATGGAACTTCAAGAAAGAGTGTTACGAGAAAGTCCTCTTCTTTTCTTGATTCCGGGGCACAAAATACAGTCATAGAAGGAAAGAACGGCCTGACCAATTTCGGTATACCTAGGCAGGCAACGGGAAGTTGTACAATGTCGGGTATGGGCGGCCATGTAGAAAGGTTCAAGTCTCATGCAGTTACCATAAAGATATGTTCCGGATTTGGCGAAGAAATGGAAATGAAGATTCAAACGAAACCGGTAATTACAAACGGTTTCCCGAGCATCCAGCTCACCTCTAAGGACATAACATTTTTGAAAGAAAACAATATTTGTTTAGCCAATTCAAAGCTTCGAGGAGAGCACCAAGTCCCCCATATTCTAGTGGGTTTGGACTACTATCAGATGACCATATGCAGTACTCCGGCTCATGACCAAGGTCTGCTCACCTGCCCATACCAGCCCTTGAAACGATCAATTATGAAGGTATCAGCTGTTGGTGTGGTTCATGTCCTGCGCACAGCCTCTTCCACCTGTACGAAGCGTGAAGAGTGGGAGGTAGAAAAACTGACAGGAGACCATTTAAATAAAAACTGTCCAAGCACGGCCTCCATTTTCGAAGGTACCGCAGGGCACGGGCCATCGTCTTTTTGTGAATGAAAGCTCGCAACAAAATCTGGGTTGTGATGGTCCGACCGTTCGTGTATACTCTATGTTTTTCTTGGGCTCAACCTATCGTCGAGGCGTAATTCATACCAGGAGGGGAGCGTTGGTCGTGCTAAGAGCCGACACGTGCACGGTACACCTTGGTTATGGCAACTCTGGTTTGGAGAGAGGCCGAGCCATTTTGTGGAGTAAATCGAGCGTGGGGATCCAAATAGGAACACGGTGGAAATAAGAAGAGCTCAAAAAGGGGGGACGAAGTGAGGTTAGAGTGACAAAAACTTTGAATGGAAAACGTTGCCACGCAGGCCATAACATACGTCGGGAACTATTAAGGCATCCACTAAAGATGTCCTCCCAAGAACTTGTAAAAGAAACACTTACCTCAACACTAGCATTTTTTTTTCACTTTAAGTTTCTCTCGACTCACAAAAAGTTTCGGAACGAGCAACCCCTACTTTCCGTGGGCGCATACGTTGTGCAAAAATCCAAGTATCTTCAAAGCAGCACCAAGCCCTTCCATAATCTGGCGTAGAATAAATCCCAAGTCAAGCTAATCCCCAATCTAGCAAAGAGGCAGATCGACACTGATGGTCGACAGCTCGTATAATGGCTACTCTATTTTTGGAATCTCTCTAGAGGAAGCAATTGGAAGCACCTGAGAGGTATCATGTTTCCTTCAACAACAAGCAAAACGCAACTTATATTAAGAATAAAACCTATACTCAGAAACAAAACAAGCAATCAGAAATACCACAGTAACCTACATGAGAGAGATAGCAAGAAAAAGAGATCATTGAGGCATAAGAAAAAAAAACGCAGCACATATGCATCAGGGCCA